GAGAAGAAGCAAACTCTCTGATAGAGTTCCAAACACGCACTGCTTTCCGGCGGACGCCCTTTTGTTGCAGGTTGTAATGCCAGCCGGTTTCTCCATGTGGGAAGAGCACTGGACACAGCATTGGATCTGCATGAGGTGAGCCAGCTGATACGCTTTGCATCCGGTGATTTGGGTCAACTGGGTTCGAGTCATAGATGACCAGATCGAGGTTCCTCGGTGGTAGACCATCTTCACCAACAAAGACAACTGCTACCTCATTCACATGAGCAGCTGGTTCATTGTATCGCCGTGGGTCATTGTTCGGGTCGGCGACGATGTGCATGGTCACCTTTTCGGTTGCAACATTGGATTGGCCGCAGCAGCATCTTGTTCCCTTTGCCATACTTGTCGCATGTTTCTGTAAGAAAATAATATTGTGTTATTATTAAAGCCACATGATATATCCACATGTGTGTACAGTAAAAGGATAAAGAATAAATGTTATCCATAGGCAAGTGCAACCTGATAAATATTACAGCACAGTATATTTTATGTAATTCGGAAATGTACAGATACTGTTAAAGACATATTACTAAGCACACATACTGGAAACTATGAAATACAATTTTGCATAGAAGTATTAAGTAAAAATGAAGCTTGGGTATAATACACACTGCAATGGAAATGTACACAGAAAAAGTAAAATCAATATATATGGATATCGTTATATACATGTGACATATATATATATATTTATAGTATAGTTAATATGAAATTGTAAGGAGCTGTTGGAGTTTAATCGTATCGTTTAAACCTAAAATAGTTTTTTTAATGAATGAGTAGTAATTAAAATGTAAACTATAGATATTTAAACAAAAATGTTGCACTACTGTCTACACGAATGTGTATTCAATGCAATATTAACTTAGATTATTTGTTGTGTCATGTAAAAATACGTAAAAGTGCAATACCTATATTAATGTAATGTGTATTCAATGCACTCAACATCATACTAATTGAATTGGTTATTGTAAAACCACATGATATATCTACATGTGTGTACAGTATATGGATAAAGAATAAATGTTATCCATATGCAAGTAGTACCCGATAAACATTACAGCACAGTATGTTTTATGTAATTCTGATACGTACTGATATTGTTAAATCCATATTACTAAGCACAAATAATGAAAACTATGAAAAACAATTTTGCATGGGAGTATTAAGTAAAAGTGTCTTTGGTAAAAGTTACACTTCAATGGAAATGTACACAATAAAAGTAAAATCAATATATAATATATATATATGATATATTTATAGTAGTGAATATGAAATTGTAAGGAGCTGTGGGAATTTAATCTTATCGTTTAAACTTAAAATAGGTTTTTTAATGAGTGAGTAGTAACTATAATGTTAACTATAAATTTTTAAACAAAAATGTTGCACTACTGTCTACATGAATGTGTATTCAATGCAATGTTAACCAAAGTTATTCGTTGTATCATATAGAAATACGTAAAAGTGCAATACCTGTACTAATGTAACGTGTGTTCAACACGCTACAACTTGAAGTAATATTTTTATTTGATTACAAATTTAATATAGTTTGTTAATGAGTGTGATGTACGCATTTTGCTAGATTATGTATATGTTAATAATTTAAAGTAATCTCGAAAGCCACCGCAAATGGATTGATTCGCCGTAACAGTCCGTCTAAGTCTGCAAGCAAGTTCTCCAATAGTGGTCGTTCACGTGGCTGTTGTGCCATGCGAATCTGATTTGCTGCCCCGGATTCAATAAAATACAACTCACAAAACCTTGGTTGCATTAGTTCATTTCTGACAACATAATTACCAATCCTACGATACACTAGCCCGTGAACGGAGAATACTCTTAGTCCCTGACCAGGCAAACGTCTTGGGCTCAGATCAGTGGAGAAAGCCGCAAATGCCAGAGTGTTGTTGTACCGGCGGATTTCTTTCCGAAAGTGTTTTTCTACCTGCGAATCATCAACCAACAAAGGAATTAATAACTCTGGTGGTGGACCCAAAACACGGTCTCCTGTAACAGCCATTTGACCGTTATTGCAACACGTAGAAAAATGACCCGTTGAAGTACGCTCACAGGAGAAATGGCGGGCAACCACAGTGCCGGCAGACAACATTCAATGGTCCTATGTCATGCCGATCTGGAAGTTTGTGTTGAATGCCAACCAGACGGTCTCTCAAGGGCGCACACGGGCTCTCGGTACAACAGGAGGAATCGGTACGAACTGCAATTAAAATACACAGTTATTAAGATATATAATGAATATAATGTTATAAATGTTTATTTTAATTTTAATAAGATGAATTTACTAACTTCTTCATTGACGACTGGTAGTAAAATGTCAAGTGCGTCCCTGAATACAAATTCTGCCTCTGCGTCAGCAGGAAGTAAATCCACATACTTGATGTCATCTTGTACCACTTCCTCTCGTAGCATTTCTTCTTCAGCTAGGTCCATCATTACATCTTCCACTTGGACTTCGACAACTTCTTTCTCTCTCCATCCCGTTGTTACCGGGGATTGCCACATCCGCTTCCAGTTGACCACCTGGTGCCGCAATCTCAAGGAGTGGTTGAACTACCTACAGCATCAAAGGAAATCTGTTGTAATGTGTGTATAATAACAATCTGAAATATTATCAGCTTAAATATTCAACGTATGTGTTGCATGTGTTATTATTATTATGATATTTAACTGCATATCAATGACATGTGACTTAATAAGCATATAAAAATCAGCTCACCGATAGGGAATGTAATAAGTACAACACATTTATAATTAAATAAATTAAAAACAGTGCATAGAGAGCATGGTACAATCAATTAGTTAGTAATATAGAATTATTATGATTAGTTCAATTAAATTATTAGAAAAAATACTTTATTACATTTGAATAGTAATATGAATTGAACAATTGGTATTTCAATGTAAAGTAATTTTATTAATTGTGTCTATAAGCATGATAATATTATATGTTAATAAATAAATGACACCGTATGACATTATGTAATAATAATTATTAACTTAATACAATTGCTACAGTCTAAGTTGTGTTTAGGTGTGGTTTGGTGTAGTATTGTAACAGTGTCATTGGAATACCTAGTAAAAATAATCATGATACACTCACTAAAGATGGCACCGCTCTTGAGAACAGACGACGACAATGTTGTGTTTCTCCTTCATAATCACGACCTAGTACGAAATGTCTCGAGCACACTTTTGAGTTGACCAAAATCTGTTGTGCATTTATACCACAGTTCTCGACAAACAACACCCACTGACGTCTCCGGCGGTCATTCGCTGGAAACCTAATTTAACCATTACATTATGAGTAGTATTAGTGTAAGTCTAGTATGAGTTGTTAATAAATTTATTGTAACCTGTGCAACGAAACTCCATCAACAACGTCGACGTTTCCGCAGATCACACACAATCTAACCATGGTGATGTGCCTTAACTTTGACATTTTAAAGAAAATAATATATAATAATAATAGCATCATATTGTAAACGTAATTAATAACAATTAACTTATATTATGTGTTAAATAACATCTGTATTTTTATTATTAAAAATATGTACGATAAATTAAATATAATACATTTAAAAATGTACAACAATTCAATATTGTCTTCGCCATCAGTGTCTGAATCGGACTCTGTTGTTTCATCATTATGTTGTGTTTCAAGTGTTGCTGATGGGTCATACAAATTACCAGCGTGTTAAAAAAATTCAGTTAATGGCTCTAACTTTAAAATGCGGCATCGCTTTAAAAACATGAATTTTGCTAAATAGCCAGCATAAAACCTTTTTTTACGGCAATACTGCGATAGAGATGCTTTTGCATGGTGCCACATCCCCTCGACATTGTTTGTATGAGCCCCTAATAGTTTAATAGTTTTATCATATTTATTCAATGGATATATACTGTGGCTATTTTTCCTAAGGGGAGGGGGGTTGACAATTAATTACAATTTTATTTTTATTTTTATTTTGTCACACATTTTACTCATAATATGCTGTTTCCCCACAAATACACTTTTCGCACAAAATTCCTATGCAGATATTTAATACTTTTAACATCATATATTTCAGTAACTATCAAGGCTGGGTAAGTTAATGATATTTTTTAACTCAGTTAAATTAAGTTAATTATAATCTACAAAAAACTATTAGATATATCAAAAAAAATTACTTCATGGGAATAACTCTCAGGCCTTGTAGAATTGTCTGATTTTGATAACTATTTTTTTTTTATTTAAAAGAAGACTTCCTACAAGCCGCATCAAATTCCGATTTTTATTTTTATTTAAAATAAAAGTATAATATAATTTATAAAAAACGCATGAAATCGTATTATTTAAAATCCTTAAAATCGACTGAACCGATTTTTATGTTTTACATTAATTGTATAAGCATATATTTTATACCATCATACCGCATCATTTAACAGAACTTTAAAATACTCAATTGTTTTCTTTGTCAACGTTTTTGATTTTCTGTTGAGTATAATTCACAATAAAAAAATATTATTATAGGTATATATAATATTATATTCTCAATTTTTATTTTTATTTTACGCTGTCAAAATTAAAGTAGAAAATATCTAAACTAAAAAAAAATATTTAAGTATTTGATTTTAAATACAGATACTTTAAGAAAAAATTGAAAACACTTTGTTGAAGTACTGTTTTCAAAAGTATTTAAAATACGTAGTTGAGTACTTTAAAGTATTTGAATACTATTATTATAGGAATTAACAACACTGAATTTACATAAGGAAACGTTTTACTGTTGATAAGTAGTCGAGTAAGGCTCCTACTACAATAGTAACAAAATAATACGTTTTACTGTTGATAAGTAGTCGAGTAAGGCTCCTACAATAATAGTAATAGTAAAATTAATTTTAAAATGAGTGTGTAAAAAAAAGTTGATGAAATAGTGCATTTCATTCAACAAAAATATCCAACAATGGAATTTGATGGCATAGGTGTATCTCACGAAGCAATAAGTGATATTTGTAATGTGATATTAAAAAAAGGTAAATGCAATAAAGCTAAAAAAAATTTAGTTATGGCATTGAACAATGCAAACTCAGCTTTGAGGAAATCATTAGGAGCAAAAACAGAAAATAATACAAATTTGCGTAAACAGCTTGAAGATAATGATTTTTGTACATATATACCTACAACAAAAATTGCTAATTAAGTATGCAAGCTATTAAAAGTTAAATGTGATCGTAGAAATCAAATCAGAGTATTCAAACGTTGTCAGTTAAGTTTTAAAGAAAATGAAGCTTGTACAAGTTCTGATGTATCATCTCAAACGAACATATTAGATAAAGATAATCATATAAATAAATATACAATATACACATTTATTTTATTTTTTAGGGACTTTTTTAAATTGCCTGTGAAAATAATATTACCTATCAGTATTGTTTTTAAAATTTAGATAGAATGACTTTAATGATTTTACATCTACATATTTTTTTGTCATATAAAAATGTAAAATAATCCAAAACGTACCTTTTAAATTAATTTAATGGAAATAGTACGTTTTGGAAAATTTAATGGAAATAGTTCATTTTGGAAAACCTAATAAAATATTAAAATATACTCTTTGTGCTTTTTCCAAAATAAAAATATTATTAATTTCTTATTTATTGTTTCAATATGAACAAACCGTTTGTAAATAAAAAAGTAATTTTGAAGACAAGGACGATTTTTTAAATTATTTAATAATATATTATTTCTATTGAAAACGACCCAAATGTGTTTAATAATCTAGGATTATATTTTTAATTTAATTTCAAACTTAATGATTGTGAATATTATAAATTATAAATTATATTTTAGTACGTTTTGGATTAACTATTTTATTTCGCTATACCTACAATACGGGCAGTAGTACGTTTTGACATAACATAAAAAAAAAAGTACGTTTTGGAATAATTTACGAAAATAGTTCGTTTTGGTATAGTTAATGATTGGTGCCTATTATTTTAACATTGGCAATAGTACGTTTTGGCGTAAAACTGGAAAAAGTACGTTTTGATTATCTAAATATAATTTTTATGCACGGAAAAGGTTCGTTTTGGATTAAGCAGTCATTTTTAACAGCTGTTTTGACCTGGAAATAGTACGTTTTGGTCTATTCTGACAACACCAATCGATTTGTCGGCGTTTTTTTTATAAGAATCGATATCTAACTCGTTTTTGCCAATTTTGGCAATAGTACGTTTTGGATTTCCACCCCTCAATCAAGGTAATATATTAAAATATAGACATAGTACACATACTTATTCTAATTGGTATTCGTCGATAACAAACAGTTTCCTAAGAAAACAACACGGGTCGCGATATCCGTATTACTGCTACGGGGACAATATAATTATGTTTATTTATAGAAAAAATGATATTCGTAACAAGCCCACGCGGGGCCCGGTGCGGTCGCACCGCTTGCCCCCCCCAAAGGGCCGGCAGTATGTGTAAAGAGAAATCTATTTATAGACAGTTCTCTTCAAAAAGAAAACAATTATAAATCCGATACAATTATTACTTTGAGTACTGTACGTGTATGTAATAAACTAATAAAAGGAAGACATTGAACAACAGCAATAGATTTTTTGATAGTTGAATAAGTCATAAATAAAGAAATTGAATAATGGCAATAGATTTTTTCATAAGCAACATTTATATGGCAATCGGGTAGACAATAAAAACACAATTGAACGTTATTTTTGTTGCTAACAGAACGTACATCAATTTCGGTACAATTCGTAGACGTGGGCGTGGCATAGATATATTATGAGCTGTGGTAACGTTTTTTTATACGCAATTGTATGTTGAAGACGTGTTGTACTGTCGTCAGTGTCGTCAGTCGTCACTCGCCAACCGCCGAAACCGCCATTCCACCATCGACGCTGAGAACGATCCTCCAGTCTCCTAAGCCGGACACCGACACCGCTGCCGCCTTAATATGAAGCGCAGGCACACGCAACAAAGTAAGCATTTTCACAAAATCAAAGACTTTTGAATTATAAATTCATAGGTACGTATGCCCTCTAAAAAAGATTACCACTTGTGTCGGACCCATAGAGTATAATAGTTTATAGTAATAGCTAGTTTGGCATCAGCCATATAACACAGTTTGAATAGGTAACGCCTATGGGCCTATGGGTATACCACCTATGGTCGGATGTCGGACCTATGATTATCCATGTAGGTAAAAAATGTATTTCATACAAGTGTCTTTTGTCTCTTAAAAGAAAAAATCTTAGGACAGATTGACTGAACGCCTCCTGTAATAAATTGCTTTTCGACTAGGTTTTTTGCTCCATGTGCCTACCTATATATTACATTTTACTTTTAAGCGCTTTTAAGTGTCTCCATAAATAATCAATTGTTTGTGTTTGAGCACCTATATATGGATTTATGAAGTTTATGTTGTAGTGAAAAATTTTGTGAAAAAAATTTTACATACCTAACTAAGTTGTACATTTTTTGGGAAAGGCATTCATACTTACTTATTGAAAAATAACTTAGAAACACATTCTATAATGTACTTTATTTTAATTCAATAATACTTATACAATAATATTCTGATCATGATGTGAAGTTACAAATAAAGTTCCTTAAAGTGGTTGTAGATTTTTCGGGAAAGACAGTTATACCTAGGTCCAACTTACTCAAAATAACTTTGTTCTTCTAAAAATATACGTAATGGAAAATATAAGAAAATAAGCACTATTTTGTTGATTTTTAGCCTGTCCAAGGTTCTTAAAATTTAACACTGATATTAAAATTAATCAAAATTGTTTAAATAATTTCAAAGGTGTTGGGTCAGTAAAAAAAATGGATACCGTTCAGACTTCATCTGGTGAAAATAATCTAAAGCAAGTTCTGAAATCAAATGACTGGGAACCAACTAATTTTAGGAATTACTCACACTCTGTAAGAATACTAGAAGATTTACAATCCCAACGCAAGTATGTTAACAATGATTTTACTATCATTCAAAATAAATATGAGTAACACATTTTTGTTTTTAGAAAAGAAGTTTTATGTGACTTTAGACTTAAAGCACAAGATGGTAAAATTGTAATTGGACATAAAAATGTTTTAATAGCAGCTAGTCCATATTTCCGTGCAATGTTTAATAATTTTGATGAGAGCAATAAAGATATTTTTAATTTAATAGAATTAGATTCCACCATTTTACAACTATTAGTAGATTATATCTATACTGGGGAAATTATGGTCACAAAAGAAAATGTACAGGTATAATAAAATATTTTATTTGATATCGACTTCAAAGTTCAAACAACATATTATTTTATGTTGATTATTGTTGATTTCTTAGGTGTTGTTACCTGCTGCAAATATCTTACAGTTAGATTATGTAATTGGTGTATGTGCTGAGTTTTTACAAAAACAACTGAATCCATCAAATTGGCTTGGTATCAAAGCGTTTGCTGACTTACATAACTGTACTGATTTGTTTTCAATTTCTGAAGCATATATTAAACAACATTTTTTGTACGATTAACATTTTTTAATTCTCTATAACAAGAATAAGTAGGTAATTTATTATACAAATAATGATTATTATTTCCAGAGAAGTAGCTAAAGGCGAAGATTTTCTATCCTTATCTTCTGATGATTTGGTGAAGCTTATTTCCTCTAATGACCTTGCTGTTCCATTTGAAGAAAAAGTAAGCAAACTAAAAATTTTATTTTTAATATTATGTATGGAAAATCAACATATAAAGGTGGGCAAGTATACAGTTCAGTTGATGTCTAGACTCTACAGGGATCACTGTATCAGATGTGTTATATTTGAATTCAATGATATAAAATCATTGTAAACGAAAAGGAATCTGAGCTCTAAAGGTTTAATAATATTACCAAGTATATTTTATGGTATAATTGATAAACTAATTTTTTTTTACTATTAGACATTAGTAATACTGTATTTCTGGAGCAGTTTTAATTATTTTTCCAAAAAAGGTGCATATGAAAAGATCATTGTGTGCATACAATATAACAATATACTTTAAAATTTTAAGTTCCTAAAAATAATATTTTTAAACTAAATAACTAAAATCAATAAAGCTTGATTACTATAGAAAATAATTGTATTGACTGTTATTGAAAATAAACAAAAACATGTCTTATTTTAAATGTCTATAAATATTAAATAACTCTAAAATAGTTAAAACGTTTTTTAAAATTATTTCAAATCAACTGTATCTCTTTGATGATAAAGAAGTTTTGTGGTCGGCTCCGACTGTAAATAATTTTCTATAACTTTCATCTCCACGTACCACATTGATTAGTCAGTAGGCCCAAACAATTTCGCAAACGCAGCACATAAACCTTCTACTGCATGTCTATATTGTGATTTATGTGTATTCAAAAATAACAAATAATATATATTATTTAATACCATAAAAATATAAGAATTATTAATTAATATTCCTTAGCTTAATATAAATTATAAACAGTAGGAACACATGAACTTAAAGATCTATTATATTTTTGGGATCCTGTGATAATTATACACTATTGAATGGTTGAAAAAACTATTATTATATTTGAATCTAGTTTTAAATATTTTTTATTGTAGGTATTTGAATGTGTTATCAAATGGGTAAAACATGATTCAGATCATAGAATTGATTTTTTGCCAAAGCTAATGGAACATGTACGTTTGCCATTACTAAAGCCTGATATATTATATAATATATCTGAAGAACCTCTTCTAAATATTAGTCCTAATTGTATGTTATTTACTTAAATTTGCCATCATTATAAATTTATATATTTAATGAGTTATTATTATAATTTTTTTAGGTAAAAATTATTTAGTTGAAGCCTTACGTTTTAATCATCAAAAATCAGTTCAGCATATCACCATTCCAAAAACGATAAGGTTTAAACCTAGAGAGTTTGATGGTTTTAAAAAAGTATGATTCCAAATTGATTAATTTATCTTTATAATAATTTTGTCGATTTAATTATATTAGGTTCTTCTAATGTTCAGTAAGTCTAATACATCGCCAAAGTGTTATACTGAATGGTATGACCCAGCAACCAAGCTAAGAGAGAATGCACCAGGAATAAATAAATGTCGGAGGTATGCTGGTTTTGGTGTGATAAATGATAAATTTGTGTTTGCTGTAGGAGGTGTAAATGGACGGAGTT